GCTTTTCAACTTGTACTTCCCAATTTCTGAAGGTAGAAAAAACGTCTCCCTTATGTTTCAAGAACAAATCTGAATATATTTTATACTCCTATTTCAATATCTTTTTCTTCAAATTTGTCTGAATATGATTTTTAATGTGTTTTTTTAGAAATATACTTATTTTATAATTTTTCTTCTAACTTGTTTTTAGAACATTTTTTAATCGTATTTTTTAGGAGAAATAGAAGTGAGGACCATTGTTTTCTTGGTTTCCTTTCTTAATCATTCCCTTTCCACTGTTAAAAAAACTCACGAAGAGGATGTTAGAAGTTCTTTAAGATCACAATGAGGTCAGCTGCATCTTAACAACAAATACGTGAGTTGTTAACTGATATGTTTGTGGTAAATTCTCAAAACTTCTAGCATTATTGTGCATTTATTCCTCAAAGTTCAAACTTCATGTTTGTGAATAGCAACTAAAGAAACCCAATTGTCGTTATGGAGGCTGAGAAATTGGGTTGACATAGAGAAAATAGAAGTAACGACTATAGATTTCGTTGAATGAAGCAAATCATTTCTAGTGTAGTTGTAATAGTCTCTCAATCAACAACAATTTAATATACATAATATAACTTATACAAATACACATGAAACTACACCAATTCACTAAGTCTCTATTTTTAATAGTCCCTTACTCTCTAAGAGATAATTGGACACCTTAGGAGTTTAAGCCCTATTGGCTACTCTAAAATATATGTGTTAGGAATAATGAGACCATCACACAAAACAAAGGGAAAGGGTAGTTAATCGTATCCCTTAAGTTGTCTATAGCTTGTCTCATGGAAGTTTTCCACAGGTCTAAATCCTCTTTGATATTGTCCAAAGGAAAAGGTATTCTTAACTCAAGTTTTGACCTCACACTTTTATAACCCCACCTAGTATGAATGCACATATTCCCGCTAGAAAAACCTTTTCAAAACTTTAGTAGTATTTGGTTAACTCAAAAACTCTTAAAAATAATTTTTTATGAATGCAAAAAGAAATACATATAATATAACAAATATCACACAAAGTTTTATAAAAAATAAACAGTTCTCACTACAAGAACAAACGTAGAAATTCAAATTAGGGATGTCAACGGGGGCAAACGGGGCGGAGATTGCATCCCCCGCCCCCACCCCCGAAATTTTCCCGTTCCCCCGCCCCCGCCCCCGCCCCCGAAATCTCTAGCCTCCCCACCCCCGCCCCCGCCCCTGTTTCCCCGCCCCCGTTTGGGTTGACTTTTTCTTCGGCGTACGAAGGTGTTGTTTAGGCTAAAAGAAGTTATTTGTTGGGCTAAAAGAAGTCATTTTGGGTAAAAAGTAGTTATTTATAGCTTAATTTTATATGTTTAAAATAAAAATATTATAACATCTCAAAAACGTTATAGTAACTTAAAAACATTATATTTTATTGAATTTTGGAAGTTCAAAATCATTTCTATTATTTATTATATTTTTGTAATTAATATATATTAATATAAATAATACATTAACGGGGTCCCCATTGGGGGTTCGGGACGGGACTACCCACCCCCGCCCCCGCCCCCGAAATTAAAACGGGGGTTAAACTTGCCCCCGTCCCCGCCCCCGTTCCCGATTTTTTAAACAAATATTCTCCATTCGGGATCGGGGCCCCACGGGTTTGGGGTCCCACGGGACTTTTTGACATCCCTAATTCAAATGCATATTAGAAATATTATTTCTATTATACCTTAATTTAGTTATTTCACTGAATAAGACCCAACTAACAATTACCGTCTCTTTAAAACTATTGGCCAACTAAACAGTTGATCAAGCCAATAGTCCCATACGGATATTCTTGTGATATGTTTTATATATTCCCACAATAGTGACTAAAAATCAGTTAAATTATATTCATATATATATAATTTGTACATGGAACATATATTGAACATATATTATGGTAACCGACTTAGCCACCAATTTTGTATGAATATATTTAGGAAACTTAACATTTATCAGTTAATTTAAAACTAAATAGGCTTCATATTTTTTGTTTAAAATCTTAGAAAATCTTATCTTATAAACTTATAAATACTCAAAGTTTTAAGCCGACAATTCAACTGTTGTTAGCCCAACAAACGTATTGTTTACTTTAACAACCTCTTTATTTAATCCAATAACTTAAGCCCAATAAAGTATCTTTCGAAGCCTTTTCTAATCTTTGAAAAGTGAATGTGAGCCCATTACCTCAATTAACAGAAGTCGCTCCACGCCTCCACCACACGCCTCCGGCGGACGCTATAAATCAACCACCGTTATTATGTGGTTACCGGAAAAAAAACATGATCTCTCCTTTCCAAACAATGTGTCTCTCGTCGGAGTCTTACTATATTCTCATAAACCACCACAGTTCATGGTTTCTATTGCAGTTAGGATCGAACTATGTCACTTAGACTCATATAGTTCGCCGGAGGAAAACGTAAACAAAACTCATCAGAATAAGTCAACGAAGTCTATGCCGGAAAATGGTCAAAATGCCTATTCCGAAACTCCTCCAAACATTCATTCCTTCTCATCTCGCCGGAGTTCAGGTGAATCATACACAACTAAATACTCATCGAAACTAATCCATATATCAACTTGACATCCCTTGATATTAATCGTCCGTAAACCGCAGGAAACTTCATCGGTTATTTACTTATTCTCATTGATTCCGATCTGTTGCGAACTCTCTTGTGATTACCAATACTTTAAACGGAAAAATCAAACTCTTATAGACCTGGATATGTAGTTGACGTCGGAATTCTTACCGGAGAAGAGGAACCAGTACTTTGTTAATTCAACCACACCATCGACTTTCTCTCCCCTCTTGATCTTTTTCTTCTCTCCCTGGTTCTTCCTCTCTTTGCTTTTTGGGAATATCTGTCTTACTAGTTCTGTAGGGCTTCTTTGGCCAGAGACTAGTCGGATGTGTAATCGGAATCAGACATGAGTGGATACAAGATTTGTTCAGTGGAGACTCTACAATCTTACATCTGAAGAATAAATATGATATTGCTTTTTAACCACTTCATAGAATGTCGAGTATATGTAATTTGTGTTTTTGTTGATCTTTTTTGTTTACATCTTAAATGATTCATGTTGTTCACTAAAATAATTAGGGCTAAATGCAAGAAACAGCAACGTACATCCTTTGATTTGTTTATAATAGCATCCTACTTTCATTTTTTCCATTACAACAATGTACTTTGAAAGTATTTTCACTGGTATCAGCTGTAGCAAGTTATAGCAATTTTATCTTTGATACAAAGTAATTTTCACTGCTATAAGTGGATAGGTTTTTTCAAAGTATTGTGTCCTAATAACAAAAAAAGTACAATGCTATTATTTGGTAGATTATTCAAAGTACAACCCATTAATCAGAATCTATTTTTAAAGTACATGTCGTGATAGAAAGAAATGAAAGCAGGATGCTATAATACATAAATAATGAAAACTCATTGTTATTTTTTGAAATTGGTGTCTTGGTTTGAAAAGACTTCAGAAGTAAATCCTCAAGTGGTACTTTCCTTTTTTTTTTTTTCTTTATGTAAATCCTTGTTGACTAAATTACATAAAGCGACTTTGTCTTTTATCTTTTTATAGAGTTTGGTTTTTATTGGGTGATAGGATTCTTGTTACATAACTTTCATCTGTAAAACGTTACAAAATGGATTAATTAAAAGTCTCAAGGGAAAGCATAATGACTTTGTGTATAAGACTAGAAATATATCTAATAAATCATGATGTGGAATCCAAGTTTCTCAGCAGCAAACAGGATTTTGGTGAAAGTCATGAAACAATCAGAGATAATAATATATGTTACTGGAGTTTCAAGTCATGTGGCTACAAGGTCAAAATAGGAAGCCAAAAGGTTGGATGCTAGGTACATGCCTACTTGTTTCCATGGGTTTGAGGTTGTGGTTTGATTGGGTGTTGACAAAGAAGAAGAGAATCAGAAGTGTAACAGGTTTTGTTGTCTTAGGAAAAAGAAAAGTTGAATGTGATGTCAAATGTTTAGATAAGGATATCATATTCTGTTTTATAATGAATTTTCTATAGAAACCGATTACATGAGAGGAAGTCATGGGCTTGTTCAGTTAAACAATAATTTTACTTTCAGAAAAGACAACTCATGAAGATTATTTGTATCTTTTTCAATTTTGGTTCTCAAGATTGAAAATTCAGAGAAAAAAAAAGCTATTCTCCAAATAACCAATGAAAAAATAGAGATTCAAATGAGGTGTGTATGTTGACACATTGTGTCACCAATTTACAAAGCATTTAGATTGTTTTTGCTAGCTTGATTCCTCTTCTACGTGCTTTTCAGAAGTTCCAGTGACAACCTATTGTTGATGATGTGATGGGAATGGTATGTAATGAAATATTGAGTTCTTGGTATTATATTACAAATGCTAATGAAATATGTTTACTAAGTTCCATTTATATATGAAAAATTATAATATCAAACATTTTAATGGATGATAAGTGTTATATGAAATCCAAGTGTTATACTAGAAAGTTAAAGTTGAGTAATTATACAAGGAAAAGGCTAAATGTGCAATGAGAAAGGCTTGTGTGTCACATGCATGAACTTTATAAATTGAGTAATTATACAAGGAAATGACATGTTCCAATGACAATCTCTTATTGACTATCAACTTGAAAAAGGAAACAAGAGAACAAAAAGTTGTATTTATCTGTTGTATAATCAAATAGAATCAACAAGCATATGTTGTAACCAGCAACACAGAGACGCATTATGAAATTGGGGGATTTTATAGCCAAAAGAATAGCAAGGAAATGGACAAAGTTGTGGCTACAGAGTTGACTTTCCCAGTTATATAACTTCAAATTTCACCATACTGAACAAGTAGCAGCAAAACATTCAACCGTGAGAATCATGACAACTCAGTCTTTTCTCTGAATCACATGAACCAAATCAACAAAATATATAAAGTAATTTAAAACAACATTACGACTTACAACATATTCCTTACATGTGTATTAATTAACTCAAAAATCATTCATATTGTTTTTGGCAACCAAATATACAACTATCAAAATAAAAACTGAAAAGATATATCCTTACTAGAGGTGACAACAAGCAAACCATTTTAATTATTCTGGAAAAAGTTTGGATATAACTCGTTGAATTTCATGAAATTGAGTTACAATAGCATTTGGTCACCCATCTTTTACTAAATGCATCTATTTTGAATTCAGACAGCCTCTCTTTCTCATGCATTTTCATGTCAAGGACGAGATCTTGAAGATTCCCCCTTACCCTATGGATAAAGAAAAAGTAAGAAAATTATAAAAATGTCACAAAGTATCTAGTCAATATAATAAATAAAGCTATGAAATCAGATAGAAACTTGCAAGTATTTATATTATGTTACAATGGCCTCTAAGATTCTTGATTAACATCTCTTCCAAACTCTTGAAGCAATTTATGGATTCTTAACATGTTGCTTGTTCCTATCCTAAGAAGGCCTCTATTAGTAAGACTCCTTAAAAACAAGTAACATGCTTAAACAATCCTTTATTGTTTTCTAGAGTGTGGTAGTTTGTTATTAACATGAAAGACCCATAAAAATCTATTATAGGTGATGCATGGAATGGTGAGAACTTGACCCTAGTGACTTTGACACATGATGGCAATACAATACAACAAGATCTCTCTAAGTTTGCTTGTATATATGTGAAACTGTGGGACATGTTAAAGAATAAAAATCAAAGGTTCAGAACATGTCCAGAAAAATAGACGACTAACTACAAGGCCTAAACGGATATAACAATTTTAAAGCATCAGCTACAGAGTCGGTAACTGAAACCATTGACTTGTATAGCATGCTTATTAGCAAGTTGCAAAGACTTGAAGTGAAAAAAAGATAACTATTAAATTTATCAATACATGGAGAAGTAGCATAACACGAAAAGCTGATTGGTCAAAGTCCAATACATGTGGTGGACCATTGCCATTGGTTAGAGGGAATTCAATGATGCAATGCAAAAAAAGTGGTGAAGCATGGATCATATTATTTCTAGAAATATCAAGAAGCTGAGACGAATGAGAAAGTGCAAATGGGAGAAATGTGATGGAGAAGTATCAACTGAAGTGGAGATCTGGTCATCATCTGATGAGGACTCTAATAAAGAAGTCTACTTCTTCCTTAGGGTTGCTAATAAGATATCAAGAACTCATCAAAGGATCAAGTATTTGATTTTTCCAACTCTAATATTTCTATTAATGAACTCAAAAAGCATTTTGCAAATGTTGACTCTAAACATATGTAGAGAAATCGATTCAAATTCAAAAAGTGGAGGAAAATGAAATGTAGGTAAATGAATTGGTGGAAGTTCAAAATGAGGAGGAGGTCCCTAAGGCAAAGACCAAGACTGTAGTAAAGAAGTACAATAGAGGCATCATATGAGATTGAGGGTAGGGAGAACTTAATTAAAAAAAAAAAAAAAAAATCTTGATAACTGCCAAAAACACCGAATTTAGAGCCCTAAATGAAGTAATTAGGTATCCGTAATTCGTTTGCTCCCACTCTAAGATTAAATAGTTAGAGAAAACGAGACAAAGTTCATGGCCCATCATATCAGCCCCAACTATGTTTTGACGTTGTCTTTTTCAAGCAAGCATCTATTGCATGGTTATAACTCCTTTTACTTTGTTACATCCTAAACCAATCAAAGATATGATTTATAACATACTTGGATCTGTATGCCCTTTATTCATGCGATGAGAGAAAGGTTTGGGTGTCAAAATGTATACCTCACATGCAGGACCAAGTATGTCAAGCTTCCTTGGTGATAAAGCTCTAAACCAACACTTTTCCTTTTGTGCTGAAAACAGATAAACAGTTATGTTAATTATTATTCACAAACATCCGACATATTTATGTGATCCAACATATCAAGACTTAATGAGTTACATATACCCATTCAGACGGATTACTACTTGGGTAGATTCATTTCAGAGTTAGAAGTAGAAATTTTATTTTTCATATTTTATAAAAACAAACTCTTATAGTAGAGGTCAATAAAATGAATGATAAATGGTTGGATGGATTTGGGTTATATGAAACATTTATATATCTACTAAAATTAAATGGGTCAGTATCCATCTTGCTTTGGGTCACGGGTCAGATCATTAAATAAATGACATCTACCTTGAAAGTCGGGGTCGTCCTGAACAAATTTACGATGATATGGCCACAATCTAACGCCAGAATCATAAAATCGCCTGTTGCATAGGATGTATTGTCCTGTTGTTGTTTGAAAAGGAGAGAGATCTCTACCAATTATGTGATTCCATGACTTGTAATAACCCAATGCATCTTCTTCTTCATCCTTCTTCTCTCCATCTTCATACACAAGACTCACCCCACACTCCTTTATAACCTCATCCTTCATTACAAGTTCATGTCGCTGCAGTGTAACAGTGATAGTAATGTGGTCACCAACCTCCATCTCATTCTTCCCAAACATCCAATGACTTAATATTACCCAACAATTCAGAGCTTCACTAAATCTGTCCACATAACGTTCATATATCCACGTACGGTTTTTTGTTATATTACTAATTGTCATCATTGGCGTCCAAGGCAAAAGGTCATCATCTGATAAATCCAACTCCTCATCAAGAAGGTTTAATGTGTGCAGAGAGCAGAAGTTGAGCCCTGTAAGGAGGTTGTTTGGAGATGATGATGATGATGATGATGATGGGATGGTAAATGATATTATTGGCCCCACGCTTCTATGCCTAATCCAACTCGGCATTGCCTCAGCCTCGTACAACATGCTGAATATTCCAAATTCATAAAACATCATCTGCCAAATACAAACCACCATAATAATTACATTATATGTCTTCACATAAACACAAAAAGTTAAGTTAACTAGACAAAACCTGGATTTCAGATTCTGAAGAATTAGTTCCCACGCGCCTTTCGTTGAGGAAGTCTAACTTAGTCCAGCCCAAGCTACGTAATACCTTTTCTTCAACATTCATCATTGTTTGGATTTTGATCACACCTTCAATTCCGTAATCATTCAACCCAAGTGAAGATGTCCAGTCTAACGGGTCTATTGATAGCTGGAGTGGGGACATTTCTGGATCAAATACAACTTTCTCTATAGGATACCCATAAGCAACGTCAAGAAACAACTGTTTTAGTGTACGTGGAGGATACTCGACTGACTTCAAATTTTTACACATCTCCATACTAAGTATCTCAAGTCTAGGAAGGGTTCTCACACAACTAGGCATGGAATTGATAGGATTGTCATCTAAATATAATTCCTTTAACATGGATAGGCAACTAAAGTCCACGGGAAAGGAGTCATGGGATATATTATTATTTGCAAGTGACAACCTTACTAAAGACCTCGGTAAAGACATTGCAGAGGACTTCAAATCACGTGGTATAGAACCCACAAAGGCTCTGTTGATGCCAATGTTTGTAACCATGCACATTTCCAGTGAATCCATATCCATATTCTTGATTCGAGATTCAACAAGATTACAACCATCTAGCAACATTGTTTTAACCTTCTCTAACATGTCTATATTTCTTGGAAGTTTTTCAAGCTTTGTGCAGTAACTCAGATCGATGAAGATAAGCTCAACACATTGCCCAATTGATTCACAAACATCAACCAAACCAATGCAATTCCTAAGTATTAACCTCTCAAGTGCAGGGAGTTGGTCAAAGTCACCAACACTATGAAGTTGTTTGCAAAAACTTAAAATAAGAATCTTCAGTGAACCAAACAACCTTTTCTCTTTTAAGCATGATCCATCCACCTACAGAAATGGAAATAAGTTAGTATAGTATTGAATTTCATCAACTCACATGCATGAATAATAAATGGAGACAACTTTACCCTTTGCCTCTTCTCAAGTCGTTGTGGATTACTATAACAACTGACAAATGATTCAATATTGCTATATGACATGTCAAGAGCAACAAGATTCTCTATAGGTAAGTTTAAAGGTATAGACTTTGAATGAAACCCATGCATACATAACCATCTTATTTCTTCTGGAAAGTTCTCATAAGACCCATGCATGTGCACATAATTGAGTTGTAGTATCATAAGATTATCCATGTTACTCAAGGCATCTGTCTTCAGCTCAAATGATCCTCTCAACTTCTCTTTCTCAAGCATGTGCATGTCAAGGGAAAGGCCTAGGAGATTCCCCTTACCCTAAGAAGAAACAGAATGCAAACAAACAAATTAGGCAATGCAAATGTTTTCTTGGACATGCACACTACTAAAAGCATACATGGCCTCGTACCTTTTTTTGTTTCAACACTCTAAATGACTCCTTATGACACCATAATCGACTTCGCTTCCATGGCTTATCGGGTGATTCTTGATGTACTTCGAATCTTCCCATCTCTTGAACCAACTGATGCATCTTCAATTCATTATTCGATCCAATACTAAGAAGACATCTATCAATGAGATTCGTGATTCCGGATCTTGTGTTTATATCGCATGCCTCTAATATTGTTTCGCTAACATCTCTATACATTCCAACAAAAAAACAAGCAATATGCTTAAACAAGTCTTTATCATTTTTGGATGGCAAAGAGCTAAAGCTCATTTTTATGACATTATTTACAGGGGAGCTAATTTCTTTCTTTAGCCCTTCCATGTACCCTTCCCAGTACGTCACATCTCGATTATGCAGAGACTTACCCAAAACTTCAAGAGCCAATGGATGTCCTTGACAATACTCCACAAGCTTATCCGACACCTCTTCATAACCTTCCTTGGGATGGTCACACATGAATGCATGGGAACACAAAAGTTGTTGTGATTCAATCTTATCTAAGCCTTCAAGGAAGTGTTTTACATGCTTGGGTTTATTGTTTGTTTTGAATAGTGCACAACTCTCTGTCAACCATCTGTCCTTTGTTGTTATTATAACTTTGCTTCTTGGATGAAAACCTTTGCTTCCAAGTAATGCATCCAACTGATCAATACTATTGATATCATCAAGAACAAGAAACACCCTTTTTCGAGCTACTGCATTCTCTATCATTGATGTGTATTTTGAAACATCATAAACTTGAATTGGACTTGTTTTTGAAATGTCACCGCAAAGTTGTTTTTGTATATCAAGCAGCCCATTATACTTTCCATCACATCTCCTACCAATATCTTCAATAAAGCTGCTTGTTTGGAACTCACGACAATATAACCCATAGACATGTTTGGCTAAAGATGTCTTCCCGATCCCGCCTATACCCGAAATAGTGAGTATGTCTGACGTAAGTGAGGATCCATCTTTCAACCATGAAGTGATGAAGTTAATGGAAGACTTCATCCCAATAAGTAGTGGCTGAAAACTCTGTAATAAGGGTACACGTAATCTACGGTAGATGTCCTTCACAATTTCTTCAATAAACTCTATCTCAAACCTGAAACTTAATGTAGTAAGAATTACAAAATACAATCCACAGAACTAACAAACCAGATTTGGAGATTTCTTTTTATATAAAGATCCAAATCAATATTATATGACAAGTGTTAGTGTTAGATATATGTAGAATAGGATTTATTGCTTTTAGGTTATTAATTTAATGTAATTAGAGTGGGAATTTTAATTTGAAATTTAAAATGGATAATCAATTATTAATTTAATGTAATTAGAGTGGAAATGGCATGATATGTGATATAAATTTGAAATGGATAATCAATTATTAATTTAATGTTATATATCACATATCATGCCATTGGTAGGTTGACAAATGGCATGATATGTGATATATAACATTAATGATGAGTTCTGATTGTATGACACTTGTCAATAGGAGATTAAACCTATTCTTTTATAAGAATAGGATATACGACATTTCGTTCTTTTCCCGATTTTATGCAACAATGTTATATTTATACAAAATATGCATCTTAGTTATCCTACTGTATCAAATGTATGTCTGGTTGATGATATTAAAAAAAAAATACCGAAATGCATAGGGTGAAGATGATATTGACATTTCATATGGGTGAATATGTGGTTACCTGCCATTTACGTCATTTCCTTTTAAATTAGCAACATCGATAAGTGCTTTCTTCCATCTCTCTATCTTTTGAGCCCATCGTCTTCTTTTATTTTCATCTGTCTCTTCATCCATTTTCTGTTTATGTTTAGTCATTGCCTCTCCAAAGCTACTTTGTTGCTTCCTGACATGGGTGGGCTCCACATGATAGAAGATGGGGATGACGATGTGGTTGGATGTCATACGCTGCTCAAGGATCAACACCAGTTCATCCAGACACCATGTTGAAGAAGCGTAGTTCTTAGACAACACAATAATAGAAGCCCGAGATGCCATAATTGCACTCTCCAATTCTGGTTTTAGATCTTCCCCTGTTTCAATCTCTTCATCATCCAAGAAGGTAGTGATATCGGCATCTATAAGGGCCTCATACAGATAATTAGTAAAACTAAGACGGGTGTCAACACCTCTAAAACTTAAAAATACATCATATCTATGATCCCGAGTTGATGAACTAGGACCAGAAGTTGATGGACTATGGCCATGAGTTGATGAAGAAGATGAAAATCCTTCTGGAAGTTCAGATAGAACAACCATTATGAGTTATGTGTTGATGACTCTTCACCCTTCTCACGATTTTGAGTATTTATTTGAACTTAAGGGTGTATCCAAGTAAGCTTTCAAACTTCTCCACACGTTATCGATAATGTAAGTTGGCTTCATAAGCTTTCCTCACTTCTGCTTCAATGACAGGATCCAGTATATAATGCCTCTACAAAAATTCAAATTATTAGTATTAACAATATGCAAAGTAAATCTAGTCAAACCATTTTAAACCTCAATAATAATATTAAAAATACCTTTGAATTCATCAGAAGTAAATCTTTTAACTAATTAAAATACAATACATATGCATCTCCAATTTCCAAACATTGCCATGTGAGCTAATATGCCTAGAAAATGTTTAAATCTCATTATATGAACTCTAATTGTGTTAAAATGGCAATATTTACCCCCTAACTTTGAGCTTAGAGTTGATATGGGAGCTATATATTGCATAATATGTATATGTGTGTTTTAACCGGTGGTTCTCTTTTGTGTGCAAGGGACGTATGTGAATCAAGCAAAGAGAGATTGCTCTTATTACAAATGGAAAAAGGTATAGCTAAGTATTGATACAGAGTAACAATTACATTGTCATGGAAATTATTTAGAAAAGGTCCACTATTACCTTCCATGAAAGGAAATTTCATGCTTTCTCTAGATATCAACAAAGAGTAATTTGAAGATCCAAACAGAAAAAAATAATAATAAGCTTCTTGGCATACAGATCCCCAAAATTCCTTGAAGATATAAAGGAATTGAGGAAGCAATTTTAGAGGGTTGAAGAATTTCCCACTGTGCACGAATTTCTGTTCATCATTCTGGACTAGTGGACTTTACTCTAAAAGGAGTGTGTACTATACTAAATGATATATAAAATAAAACAGAAATAATCGAAATAGAAAAAGAAATTCAATCACATGTTCACGAAACAAACAAATGATGTTGATGTTGATTTATGTGTAATAAGATGAAATTGTCAAACAATATCTGAAACTAACTTGTAAGAACGTGGCTACATAGTTAGCTGCCTACAGAAACGCAAGGAGATCTGAAGCAGCGATGATAGAGGATGAGTCAACAGTGACGAGTCTGTGAAAGATGACTGAAAGCTACAGACCGAATGGCGGTAAGTCGGCAGGGAAATGGTGAGTCAACAATGAAGGGAGATCGCCAGAGAGGAGAGTCAACGAGGATGATGGGTTTTCCTTTTGCCTTATGATCCAGAGGCTTCAGGGGTGTTAGCTTTTCTTTTTATTCTTTTTAAGTAAACAACGTAAATTCCAAGAAAGTGCAAAAATCTTTGAAAATAAACATATTTATTAGTAAAGAAGAAAATGCTTAAATAGATAAATAGGCACGTTCACATTTTATAAGTAGTGACAATTTCTTAAAATTAATGTTCAGAAAGTAGCGATATATAGTGGGGTTAATATTATAATACAATTTTATCTTGATTAAATAACCTTTATACTTTTTCAATTTTTCGCTCCAATCATTTTCGCATGTTTATGGATCTTTTGCAATTGTCAAAAAAAAAAAAAATATATATATATATATTTAAAAGAAACCTCTTATATTTGATTAACTTTTTCGCTCCACTCGTGTAATTTACTCTCTTATTAATCTAGAAAGGTGGAGGTTTTTAATGTAGAAAGATGGACGTTTGGTTTGGTTGTATCTATGTTTCCTAGTTTGAAAACTGAACCTTTTATATTTGCTAACTTGATTGAACAATTTGCACATCTACTATTTTGAAGCATTGGCGGATCTAGTATATATTCAGGGGTAGCCCAGGATATCCCTCAAAAAAATATAGTAGTGTCATCTTTTCCGGATTTTTTTTCTTATTGTGTACTATGCGATTTTTTTTTGTCGGGATACCCCTTTACTTTTACTTTGATCCTGGATCTGCTACTGTTTGAAGATTGAAGGTTCTATGTCTATTAAATTGGATGGAATCTGATCACAAATGCTTTCATACATGTTAGTTTCAAGGCCAAAGGCTTTCATCTTGTTAGAGTACAAAGTTATGCTTGGATGAGGAGTCTTAGGTTTTACCTATTTGTATGTATAAATGGGTTGAGTCTTTCCTATAAATAGGAAGTGAGTAACTCTCATTATGTAAGGAACCATTTGGAGTGTTAGACTAGAGAGAGAAATTGTATACAAACCCATTTGTATATCCTTTCTAGATCTAATATGAGCTTACAAAGAATTATTTACTCCTTGTGTTCTTGAGTTTACATGATGATTCACTAGATCTTTTCTTATTCCGCACATGCCATCATAATCAACACTACAACTGGTATCAGAGCGGGTGTTCTTGATTTGATCAAGAATTGATCCATGATGGCTATCTTGATTTGGTGATTTTTCATGTTCTTATTGATCTTTGTGATTAGAGAGTGTTGTGTGTTCTAGAAGTTGAATTTTTCCTTGATTTGATCCATAATTCGACTTTCTCTCTCTAGAATACTTGTTTGTGTCTCTTTCTCTCTCTAGAAAACCCATTCAAAATCACTTTCTCTCTCTAGAAATTTTCAAGTTCTTGCAATTATGGAGAAATGGATGATACATAGTAAAGATTCTCAAGGCGAATACACTTTTGAATCTCTTCTTTATTGTTTGATTGTTGGTTTGAAAAGTGAAGATGAACTCGTTGTAAATGGAGAAAAGAATGAAGATGGAGAATTAATTGGTTGTCCAATTCATCAAACCAAAGATTTGTTTGATCGTTTGGTTACAACATATCAAGAGAGATGAAGAAATAAGAAAGAAGGAGAAGTCATACAAGGAATTTCTCTTGCTGAATGCAAATATGGAAAAAATAAACTTGAATTTTATGCAAATTATCGTGAAGCTCAGGAACATGTTCTTGATGATGATCATCGTGTTCTTGATGTTCATGATAAGAAAATTCAAGTTGATTCTTATGATGAAAAAGTTTTTTGCTCGATTGGAGTTCAAACCGATGATATTTTGTGTTCTTGTGATTTGTTTGAATGAATGATTCCTTATCGGAAGCCGATGATCCAAGAAATTCACAAGTATCAAACTCCAAAAGATTTGATTCAAGTTCACAAAGTTGAAGTTGTGGAAAGTGGGTTTGTTCATGGAGTCAAGTCTTCAAGATGCAAAAAGATGAGAAAGAAAAAGAAAAAGAAGATTAATCGTAAAAACAAGCGGGTTTACTCACAAAAATCGTCAAATGTTGTGAAGTCTAAATCTGTGAAGCAAATTTGGGTTCCAAAGCAACAATCTCCAAATGTTGCATTGAATTTGAAGTCAAAACCTAAAAGTGTTAGTGGTTCATTTGAAGATGTTTTTGGTTTGATGAAGAACACGAAGAACACGAAGAACGAGTTGTACATCTCGCATAATGGGTGGTACAATGTTCGATTTGGAGATTTTCTCATTCCAACAAAAGAACCAAGATCTTCTAAATTCGATTCGTTTGTTGAAAATGGAACTCGATTCGTCAAAAAAGTATCTCAAATTCTCAAATGGATTCCAAAACGTCCATGATTTCTATTCGTGATTTTCGTTTTTCATTTTTGATCGATTTGCCTCATTGGACCTAATCCGTTTCAACCCCATAGTTGATCCAATTATTTTTGTTTAGATCAAAATTCCAAAAATCAAAATTTATTTCTCAAAAATTCTTTTATTGTTCATTCAATTGAAATTCAGGCCCAATTATAAAAGTTCGAATTATGTACTGTTCATCTAGCCCCATTTGTGTGACAAAATCAATCTAGTTACTGTTCATAACCACATTTGAGCCCAATCAATGTTCGATTGTAAATCCAAAACAATTGAGTCCAAAATTCTTTTGATATTTCGTTATTAACGAAGTATATAAATCATTTAACTCATTCGTTCTGCACAATACGCATAAATAAATGTGTTGTACATTCTTAACTTTCTTTAAGATCGAAGTTCCAGTGTCTCGCATTCTCTCGTTGTGAATCGGTTGTGTATGATTTGGAAGGTGAATTCGACATCGACAGTCAGTTAGAGTTGATTAGGGTTGATTGGATTTGATTGCAGTCAAATGAAATTGAACGATCGTGTTTGTTTCTCGTGAAGTCGATTCAAAAGAAAAGTCAAATGAAGTTTTTGAAAAGTCAAAATCGAAATCTGCTTTGAAATCGAAATCGATTTCGATGATTAGAAGGTCAGAGTTGATTTTCGTAGACATGAAAATGTTCTGGAAATCGATTGTTGGAATTTGATGTGTTGAGTCGAAGATTTTGATGATGAATTGCTTGATGTCGAACATTTGGATTGAAGTCGATTCGATGATGTGTTGATGTCACAGAGTCGAATTGAATATAGTTGAGGTCACGATTGTTTTGTTGTGTGATGTTCGAAGGATCAAGTTTGACTGGGGTTATTAGATTTTCGAAAGAATTGATGATTTGGAAAAGCAAAGTCGACTGATATAAATTGATGTTTGGATTTCGAAAGTTTGGAGTTTGGATTTGTTTTTGGATTGTGATTTGATGTTGATTGTTGATTGAGTAACGAAAACTCGATTGGAAAACTTGATTGGGAAGTCGATCGGGTATCAAGGTCGATAGTCGACTGAGACAAAAGAAAGCTTGGAGTCTATTATCAATGGTCGATGGTATTTGTCGATGTGCGAAGCACTGTGAGCGAATGGTTGATGGAATTCGTTCACGAAATGGTGTGATGTTTGGAATTCGATTGTTGATGTTGGTTTGATAATGGAAATCGACTGGGAAGATGAGTTTGACATTGAGAATGAAGGACAAATTTGTTTAAAAAACCTTTATACTTTTTCAAATTTTCGCTCCAATAATTTTAGCATGTTTATCGATCTTTTGCAATTGTCAAAAAAAAAAAAGTCGAAAAAAACAAACTTTTTTTATTTAAAAGAAACCGAGGGGCGGATGTAGAAATAGGTAGTAGTAGGTGCACAAAAAAATTTCAATCAAATATAATAACATAAAAATTACGAGTGAAATAAATATAACAAATTAACTAGTGTAGACAAACTTCATTAAGGACAAATTGGTCATTTCATGGACATGTTCTTGGTCTCGGCGGAGTTTGTTTTCGTGTTGTTGTGGTTGTACAAAGTTTTGAAGGCATTATTTATAAAATTTCATTCCCATGTTAGTAAAAAAGTTTTCAATCATTTTTAAAAATTGAAATAAAATGTTATCTAATCTCCAAAAATGAGTGAATCATCCACCGAATGTGTGTAATGTGTAAGGAAGATTATATGTATGATTTTGATGACTAGAGATTTTTGGGGGCTTAGTAACAAAAGGTAAATTAAAAGGAAAAGTAAGGTAAAAATAAAAAAGAAAATTTTTAAGAGAAGGAGTTGAACTCAAGACCCTTTACAAACAAGAACCTTGACATGCATCTCAAACCAACTCAACTACTTAACCTCTCATTTAATTTTTGAATTAGAATAATAATATACTTTTTTTAGGTGCACACTAATAAAAAATCAATTTTTTTTACGCTAATACGGAAAAATCTAGTAGTTGCACGTGCAACCCCGTGCACCACTTCAAATCCGCCCATGAAGAAACCGATTATATTTGATTAACGCTTCTTTTTGTATATAATTCATTTTGATCTTGTTCTCACCATTGTTTAAGGTGATGTTAATGTAAAAAGATAGATGTTTGGTTGTATCTATGTTTCCTAGTTTGAAAAATGAACGTTTTATATTTGGTAACTTGAATGAAGTTGTATAACTGTTTGCACATCTACTATTTTGAAGCATTGTCGGATCTAGTATATATCCTGGGGTAGCATGGGATGCCCCTCAAAAAAAATTTGGTGGTGTCTTTTTTTCTGGATTTTTTTTTCTTATTGTGTATTACACGATTTTTTTTGTCGGGATACCCCTTTATTTTGATCATGGATTCGCCACTGCTTTTAAGATTGAAGGTTGTATGTCTATTAAATTGGATGGAATCCGATCACAAATGCTTTCATACATGTTAGTTTCAAGACCAAAGGCTTTCATCTACTAATTTGGAGACTACGACTTCTTCTTTTGCTAACAGAAGGTTTCTTAGTTAATTTGAAAATGAATAATAATGGAACATCTAAGGAATTTGTTGATTATGCTCTTATCGACATGTCTGTATATCAGGAAAAATGAGTCTTAAAGGAATCTAATAAGATTTTAGTTTTTTTTTTTACCAAGAATATAGTTTTTGTTTAGGAAATAGCTAGCGAGGGGCAACGATTACATGATGTATGCATTTCTTGTGTGATTCAATACAACACT